TCATGAAACTTTACAGGAATGTTGATCAGCATGTGTAGTTGTGCACCTGGGTATTTTCATCTGAATATTTTAGTATTTTCAGAGTTATTGCCCTTGACTTAGTAAAAATTTGGCAATTTTCAACATGTGTCGCACATAACTCAAAAAGTATTTGACCTACAGTCATGTAACTTTACAGGAATATTTATCAGCATGTGCAGTTGTGCACCAGTATTTTCGTCTGGATTTATTTAGTATTTTTAGAGTTATTGCCCTTCACGTAGAAAATTTTTGCAATTTTTCAACTTGTGTCGCAAGTTTCTCAAAAAAGGATTTGACATAGTCAATAAACCTTATGGGCAGGTTGCTCAGCATATTTTAGATTTGCACCTGGGGTTTGGCTTGTGGATTTATCCAGTATTTGTAGAGTTATTTCCCTTGACTTAGTAAAAAGATTGACAGAACAGTGTCGCGGTGGGGGCACCCGTGTCCTATGGACACATTTCTAGTTTATATAAAATTACAGCGCTGACTACTTAAAACGAATTTTGGCTATTTTTCTTTCAATACTAAAATTGGAGTTCTTAATGAATAGACAGTATTTATTTTTTTGAAATTAAAAACATGTTAAAATTATGCATATAGACTGCAAAACTTTCATCTACAATAAATCAAATACATAGAGGATATTGAATGAGTGTCAGTTCAATACTGAATTTATTGCACAAGTTGAATAAAATCATATTATGCGAGCCTCTGGCGAGCATAATATTATTTTATTCAACGAGTGTAATAAATTCAGTATTGAACTTACACGAATTTAATATTCTATTTATCACATACCCAAAATAAAGACCGTTTAAAGTGAAATAAGAGTCATTTTTCATTGACGCGCCTATAGTATAACGCTAACATTTAGCGCGTCTTTACACTATTTTTGTATAACGCTTATGACATCACGTCAAAATATATGCACGGCCGTGCAATACCATATTTACGGAGTCGCAAAATCGGCACAGGTGTGTGATAAATGAACATAATATATTGTTCCATAAAATGCCCCCCATAAAATTACCACTGCCATAAAATACCAATTAAATCGGTAAATGCTATGGCTTTTTCATAGCAAATTTGCCCATCCCAACAAGTCAGCGAAAGTTGTTGTTTCTTCGCTTTAAGCAAACTTCTACTATATCAAATGATATTTAAATGTCCCATAGAGTTTGTTGTAAGCGGATTCAACTGTGAATCATTCATCAATTAGTTCTGTAAAGATGACTAAAGGTTTTTCTAATTTTAGCTCTAGAGACCCCTAAAAAGGGCCAATCAAATCAAAATTAGGAAATGCTTAAGTCATTCATTCTTAGTAGCTTATAATTGTGCTATACTTATGCTTTTTTATTTCCAGGTACTCACAACACTTAGATTTTTGGCAAAGGGGGAATATTTGTCAGAGATGAGTGATATTCATGCAAGCAGGTTGGAGGCACTCACCATCAGGTCAGAGGAGATAAAGATGCTGTCAGGTCCAGCTCTATTAGGAACCAATAGAAATTTTTACGACATCAGTCATCTTCCAAATGTCATTGGGTGCATCGATGGCACCCTTATTCCAATTAAAGGACGATCGAGCCATCCTACCTGTACCGGAAAGGCTACCATGCCACTAATGTGCGGGCTGTCTGCAATGCCGAATGAGGTACATGTATAAAACAACCTTTAATAGAATAGTGCTTACGACTGGTCAGTAAAATTTCATAGTTCAAATCAAGATGAAAATAATAAGTTAGATTTTCTTTCAGAGCTATTTACATTCTGATTCACATAGTATAAATCAAGTGTTTCTGAGTTTAATTGCCCGAAGAAGACAAAGTTATAAGCTTTACAAGTATCAAACATATATACATCGCATACATGTCTGATAATTAAAACAAAAAAATTAATTAAAATAATCACAGGACATCAACTTAAACACAATAAATATCTTGCAAAAACATTCATAGGTTGGTAAATAAGTTGCTAAAGAAAATGCACTTTTTAAATAAATAATGAGTCAATTTTTGGGGTACTACATTTAAAAAATAACAATATCTAAAGGTATAATCACATAAACTTTGTGTACATAGTGTACAGCACTGAAAAAACTTTTTTATGAATGAAAACTATAACATTAACCCTAATTAATTTCTTTTCAGATTTACAAATGTTATGGTGAGATGGCCAGGTCGCACACATGATGCGCATGCATCAACAAGGAACTGTGTTGAAAGAGCTTTTGGATTGTTAAAAGCCAGATTTAGGTTAATTTTTTCTTCTTCTTATTAATAACCTTTTACCGCATGAGCATATTGTGAAAAATGGCCGTTTTCATTGAAAAGCCTCCTGTTACAAGTTCAAACTGCTATAAAACTATGAAAAATTCTTCAATACTGATGAAACTTGGCACAAATATTGACTGAACCATAACCTCTGTAACAACATGCTCAATCTTAAATTTTCTGTTACTATGGCAATGGGGGACATGTCTCAAAATTGCAAAAAAATCACTATTTTGCATTGTTTTTTATCAATCAAAACTGATTTCAAAGTGCTGCAACTTCTCAATGCATTGAGATAGAGTAAAAGGCTTTTCAGCGTTGGTTACACGTTACCTAATAAGATCGTCCTTAGGCCATATTTAGCCTGTCACATGTCCAGAAATATCTTGGCGATGAAGGGGACTTGCACCCCCCTTTAAATCCCCAAAACAGAAGGGGGCACATTCCCCGTCTGGCAACCCTCTGATGTATCATTTTAATGGGGGGCAGCTCCGGGAAAGTGATCACATTTTTTCACAACATTTCTCAAATAAGAAATGTGTTTGGGGCCTAAATAGGGCATTATTTCACTGTTTGAGGCCTCAAAGTGGGGAGGGGGACAAAAAGCCGTCAAAACACGTCTATATGAGGGAAAAGGTTAAAAAATAGTATAATTTTATCGCTAAATAAAATTACTAATTTGGATACATCATTTCAATTTTAAGTTGCAAATTCATATGCTATTGTAAGAAAGCAGTTATGGATGATATGACATTAATTTCCATAAACAAATATCTTATTGAGGTAAACCATTTTAAATACTAAATAATATGGCGCAATATGCAGGGAAAAATATCTGACATATGTTTGCGGTTCAGACCTGAATATCCGCCCCTGTCGAGCCTCGTTATGGCCCAATGGATGGGGTTCCCTCGGGACAGTGAATACAAACTGAACTGCAACAATTTACAGATATAATTAATAAAACTCACTTTCGGTCCTTCTACGTTCAATAGGGAAAAATGCTTGTCATGTTAGAATAATTTTTAACATACATGTAGAAATAATTCTGTAATAGGTATCCCTTTATTTCTATGTAACAGTTCTACATGCACATGAAAATGTGCAATTTATCACTAGACAGCGATAACATGTAAATTTAAAAGTAAAAAATTAATGTTGAAAGTAACAAGACACATTGATTTTCCCTATATGCATATAGTAAAAACTTAAAAAATCTTCTTTTAAAGAACTCAAAGAGCTATGGCTAAGATATTTAGCATCAAACATGTTCTAATAAGTGTCTACCAAGTTTGTTCAAATAAAAGCCCTGGGGTCAAAATTGGCACCGCCCCGGGGGTCATTGATTTTCCTTATATGTATATAGCAAAAACTTAAATAATCTTCTTTGAAAAAACCCAAATAGCTAGAGTTAAGATATTAAGCATGAAACATCTTTTAGTGAGTGTCTACAAAGTTTGTTCAAATTAAAGACCTGGGGTCAAAATTGGCCCCGCCCCGGGGTCATTGAATTTCTTTATATGTGTATAGCAAAAACTTAAAATCTTCTTTGAAAAAACCCAAATAGCTAGAGTTTAGATATTAAGCATGAAACATCTTCTAGTAAGTGTCTACAAAGTTTGTTCACATAAAAGCCCTGGGGTCAAAACTGGCCCGGCCCCAGGGGTGTCATTGTTTTTAACTATATGTGTATAGTAAAAACTTTGAAAAAATCTTCTTTTAAAAAAGCCCAATGAGCTAGAGCTTAGATGTTTAGCATGAAACATCTTCTTATGGGTGTCTACCAAGTTTGTGCAAATAAAAGCCCTTGGGTTAAATTGGCCCTGCAACGTGGGGGGGGGGGGGGGGGGGGTGGGGGGGGGCCTATATACAGGTGAGCGACCTCAGGGCCATCATGGCCCTCTTGTTTTAATATTGAAAAAAAATTAAAACAATAATAGAATACCTTTAGAACTATATTGGTAAGCGTAGGATATATTTATGCGAATGCCCTTCATACAACATATAGAGATAATGACACGCTATGTTTAATTTATCTAAAAGAATTGAAATTGATTTACGTACCTGTTTAATCAACTATTTAATAATATGTACACATGCTGAATATACCAATTTTAAGTCAATTTTAACCAAATTAAATCGTGTGTAAGGATATTAAAGAACAACGACATCCTTGTCAATGCAGTTTTTCACACGTTTTAATTGCTGAATAGAACTCATTTAAGTCACCTTTCAATCAATTCAAGAAGTATGTATGTAATGTTCACCTAATTTGACAACAAATATCTAAATTGATTTGATTGGAATGCGATTAAAGTACAGTTTTAATTAACAATGAACAACAAACAAATTGATTAATTGTAAAAAAAATTGATGTCCAGACTGCAATGTAAAAAGATGTAGAAATTGATTTCATCCTCATAACTTATACAGCTTACAAACTGAAAAAGTTATATACATATCACTATGTCTACTGATTGTTGTCTACACTGTGAGATTGCCATGGAAGTTGATCAGGTATGTGTGCATCTATTAATTTTAATGGTAAATATAATGGGCTATATATTAAAGCAAAATTTATTAAAAAAGCTTTTTTAGTAAAAGCAATTGCTACTGAACAAAAAGAATTTGCATGGAAAAATAACATTAAATAACTTCACAGCTAAACCGATGATGTGTATGTTTATTTATTCAATATGTATTTCAAAGTGTATGGTTTTAATTGCTATTAACAAGTAAATTGCACAAGTAAATAGACACAGACATTTTTGCCGATTGACTTAAGTCAATATTATCCATCTAACAAAATACTTTTAGGGAATTGATAGTCATGTACATATAAGTTAATTGTTGTTATATTTTATAGGATGAAACGATAAACTACAGTGATGAGCGAACGAACAGGACCAGGAGTGTTATACGTATGCCGCAACATGAGAGTACAAGGATGTCTCTCTTAGCTGAGGAGCTTTCACTAGCCAGATGTGAATATGATATGGAGACAGTCGTTGATACAGCCCCTTTTGATGTAACACGGCCAAATCGTGAGATGTCCGACGACAATAATGGCATATTAATGACCCTGTTTCCATTTCAGAACAATTGTCGACGAAACAGTACAAGATGTTCCAGAAGATGCGCCTGTTACCAAGTAGTCGTTGGGGTATCTACACGCGGCAACATGAAATTGGTTTCATCTGATGGATACACATTCGTGAAGGAGCTGACTTGTGAACGGAACAATTGACAGGCCATGCAGGGTACGCGGTAGTAAATGTGGGTGCCCAGCAGTTGTTAAACAGACAGGATCAGACTATCGTGTTGCAGGAAGTGCTCATTCACATGAATCAAAACCAGGAATATTGACAGCCGTTAAAGTTAAAACAAAAGTGAGTACATGTACATTACTGTATATGTATCCAGAATTCAGAGAATTATTATTCTAGGTTTTTATTGTGATTAACATCAATAATGTCAATGTAAGAACATATATCTGGAAAAGATGATATATACCAGCAAGATCACATTGAATAAAAAATATTGGACCTAAATATTCTAATTATATATAATGATTTAATTACAAAATTGAAATAGGTAGCAGAAATAAGCTTAAAATAGTGACAGTTTTAATATTCAGCATTTCCTACAAACCTATTATTTCTTTATCTATTTATATATATACATGTATGATATTTCTTTTATAGAACAGCTATTCGAATTGGCCAATGTTCTGGTTAGGGAAGTGACCAACAAACTTCAAGATTTATATAGTATTTTTAGAGTGATTGCCCTTGACTTAGTAAAATTTTGCAATTTTCAACTTGTGTCACATGTTACTCTAAAAGGATCTGGCATAAAGTCATGAAACTTTACAGGAATGTTGATCTGCATGTGTAGTTGTGCACCTGGGTATTTTCGTCTGGATTTATTTAGTATTTTTAGAGTTATCGCCTTGACTTAGAAATTTTTTGCAATTTTCAACTTGTGTCGCATGTAACTCAAAAAGGATTTGAAATAGTGTCATTAAACCTTACAGGAAGGTTGCTCAGCATATGTAGGTGTGCACCTTGGGTTTCGCTTGTGGATTTATCCAGTATTTGTAGAGTTATTTCCCTTGACTTAGTAAAAATGTTGTGTTATTTGTTCCTTGAGTGCTCGAGTTAGAATCAACTAACTTTACAGGAATAATGATCAACATCACTAAATTACAGGAATAATGATCAACATTACTATGAAGCTATGCACCTGGGACTTTGCATGTGGATTTTTTTCAGTTTTGTTAGAGTTATTGCCCTTGACTTACAGTAGTATAAATTTGCAATTTTCAACTTGTTCATGCATAGCTCAAAAAATATTTGACTTGTAGGCCTGAAAGTTTACAAGAATGGTCATTGTGTACTTTATAATGCACCTTGGGGTTTGCTTGTGGATTTATTCAGCATGTGTAGTTATGCACCTTTGGGTTTGCTTGTGGATTTATTCAGTATCTGTAAAGTTCTTGCCCTTTACTTAGTAAAACATTTTTAGTTTTCAACTTATGGCACCTGTAGTTCAAAAAATATTTGACCTAGAGTCATAAGATTGACAGAACAGTGGCGTGTGGGGGCACCCGTGTCCTATGGACACATTTCTAGTTTTTTATTATCTCAATAAAGGAGTAAATAATTTAAGTAAATTAACTTGAAATGAAGTACATGTAACTATATTCTCATATAAAATCATACTTTAAGACTCATTAATTTTTAAAGTGAATTCAAGATTCTTGGTTTAAAAAGTCCTGGCCATCATGCTTGTTGATGATAGAACCCACAAAAATGGTGCATTAATTTTGTATTTCTTTTTGTTATGTTTACTTTCGGAATATCACTAGTGCAAACTGTACAGTTAACAATTGTTTACTTTAAATTTTGCATATAATTTTTGGGCTTGCCACCTCAAGCACTTTCAGTGCTTTATTTTTACTGTTTCTCTCATTTTGTGCACAGATTTCTTTTCAAGGGAGTTACTCCTGAGGTCTAGGTTGTTATATCTTATATCCCTTCTTTCATTCGTAAACACTTTTTAAATTTTATTTGTATTTCTTTGTAGATTTAAGCAGAAATAAAGCTTTATCTAGGGCGTCATTATGATAGATTGATTTTTTCATGAAAATCAACAAAAGATGATCTATTATAGATTTCTGGCCTGAGATCTCAATTATCAATGTATATCTGGTTATACCCGGCTGTTACTGTTTTATTGAATACCTAAACAGGAAGTTATTTTTTTTTATAAATGTAAACTACATACTTAGCATAGATTTTTTGCAGATTACGACACTATTGAAACCTTTTATTTTGTTGTTTATTTTATACATTCATTTCCAATTATAATATCAAATCAAATGGCAAACTCGGCAACTATTTCTTATTTTTGGAATATATTTCTTCAAGATCAAAATTTTAATGACAGGATTGTCACTTCATATCCGAAAAAAGAGTATACATGTATTTGATATGCATTGGTACCCACAGTATTGGGAAATTTAAAGGGGATTTTTGATGTGTTTAAAAATAAATCCGTGTCAATTATTGTCGTGTCAAAACTGAATTCGTCAAAATATGATACGTGGCAATTTAGGGATCCCACTTAACTCTTGCGAAACTGTCCTGTGTCTTTTTAATTTGCTGTGGTCACTGTACAGGGTGTATGCATATTCTTTCCCAAGGTTTGTTTTAAGTTTTTTTTAGTTTTTTATTTTAGCATTATACTTGGTTCTTATGGTGAAACTATTTTGACAATGTAATCTAAAAGTATAATTGCTATAATTATATGTTCCGTTAATTTATAATGCAGAATTTTTCATGACAATAAAGCATGATATGGGGGCATTCACTTGTCCTATGGACACATTTCTAGTTTCTCAATTAATTATTTCCTTTTTAAGGTCTTTCAAAATACCTTAAGATTTGGTTAACCTTTGTTATCTAATTGGATATATCTAAAATTCTGGATTTTTGAAAGTAAACCAAGCAGAAAGTTTTTGTTTAAAAATAAATCTGTGTCAATTATTGTTGTGTCAAAACTTTATTCGTCAAAATATGACATGTGGCAATTCCAATTGTAACTTCTTACTAATCAATACAAGGCTATGATTTATAATAATTAACATGTACATGTATCACTGTAACACTGCAGTATCCTAATACCCTAATTATCTCCCTTTTTGGCACACATTTAAATTAGGTATAATAAGTTAATTATCGGAGATATTGAAACATCTATTACACATGACTTTGCTTTCATTTTTTCCTCAATTTATCACAGCTTCATGCACTTTAACGTAATATATTGTTAACTTACTTTTGCATACTTGATAACAGTGAGTGAGTGTAAGAAAATTTTGCTTTCACAAGCTTAATGCACAAGAAATAGTTACCTATGACAATATGTTATTGACACTAAGAAAAACACTTTTTCTAAATTTTCATGTAAATCGGGCAGCATGAAATCATGCTCCTTTGAATTAATTTAAGTGTTAGTGGAAAATGACCAAAGTTACAGCTATTTGCGGAACACATTCACCAGAGTGATTTTTTTTCAATTGCTTAAACGGTGCATTATAAAACACATTTGTGTTCTTCACTTCCAAGAGGTTAAAACTTTATAATAGTAAGTTGTGTTTTTTATTCATAATGTTTAAGAATAGCACATTTTAGTTTTCATTCAATATGGAAATGATGCAAAAATTATTTCTTTTTTATACAGATTGGAACATTTTGTCATTTTGGCTCAAAAACTTGGTACTATTTTGTCACATTCTCAACACTTGTGTTGAGGCCTGATGCACATTCATTATGACTCTTGCTCAGAATGACTGACTTGATGAATACTGGTAGTCATTGTGATGAATAACCAGTAGTTATGGCCAATTTGAAGAAATCTACTTTCAGTCAGAAACACTTAGGTAATGTGTTAAATCATTGATAATAGACTGGAGACTTCTTGTACATTTATCAGGTCACCTGATTTTTAGATAACATATAAAATTTTGTATGCCAACCATTCACCTCAAAAACATTGGAATTTACCTATTGATATATCAATATATCAATGAAGATTCTAGTTGATACATCAAATAGTTTTTTAACTTTGCTCGCTATTTAGTCAATTTCGGGACAAAGTTTTCATTTCTTGATATGTTTTTAATAATGCTTAAATAATATTCCTTCATGAAATTTAATTAATCCTTCAATTAATAATGCATAAATAATATTCCTTCATGAAATTTAATTAATCCTTCAATTAATAATGCATAAATAATATTTGTTCATGAAATTTGATTAATCCTTCAATTAATAATGCTTAAATAATATTCGTTCATGAAATTTAATTAATTAATCTTCCAATAATCTATATAATTATGAGCCGCCTCCGTGGTTGAGGGGTTAGAGTCGATGACTTCTAATCCAGTTACCTCTCTGGTGTGGGTTTGATCCCCGGGAGATGCTTTGGTAGTTTAGCAGGGAGGAAGGTAGTCTAGTACTGGTTTTACTCTCCAGGAGGAAGGTAGTCTAGTACTGGTGTAACTCTCCAGGAACGATGTTTAGGAAACTACCCGCCTATATGACTGAAATAATGTTGGGAAAAGGCGTAAACTGAAACAAACAAACAAAAAGTATCTATATATCTGATCTTTTCATACAAAATGACTGGAAACATTATGATCAGTGAAAGTAATTAGGTTATTTGAAAAAACAACAACATGCAACAAACAAACAAGCCAACATAAACATATTCTTATTCTGTATATTCTGTAAAAAAATATTCTTGAAAGATACAGATAAGCAGTTTTCATTGCCAGAAAATACTTTCTTGCATATCAGACTGGCGTTTCCATTAGTTTTACCCATGCCGGAAATTTCATCTGGCATGGGGGGTTCCAGATGAGTCGCGCGCTGTACAATGGCACGGTAAAGATGACGTCATTTTACCGTTATGAATGATTTTGTAATTCATACGCTGTTGTAAGAAAGTAGTTACGGTTGTAATGATATAAATTTTTTATTGAAAATAAAGATAAAGAATTTAAAATATAATAGATTATAGTAGAATATGCAAGAAAAGATATCTGACATATGTTTGCAGTTCGGATCGGAATATCCGCCCCTCGGTCACCCGCGCTTGGGCGGGTCTCCTCGGGACAGATATTCCGATGCGAACCTCAAAATATGACAGATATTATTAGTATGGCTAGCCTATACCGTGTTAAAATATATAGTATGACTAGAACTTTTGGCAAGCAGTTTGGCCCAGTACTGAATGGTAGAATAAAAATCAGTTACAAACAAGTTATTAATATGTGTTACTCGATCATTTAAAAAAAAAAAAAGAAGAAAATTTAGTCGTCCATGGTTTGGAATTTTGCTGAAACATGTTGACTTTACATGACAACTTATTATACTTTTTGAAATAATCATTTCTTGATAATGTACATGTGAATAGAATTTCGCGCTTTATTACAAAAGATGGGGAAAGTGCCTTCTTTCATTTATTTTGAATGTTTATTGTACAGATTAATTAAAAATATCAGCAACACTCAGATTTTCGGCTTAAGGTGTTGAATTATACCTAGAGTTGCTCTAATATTAGACATCTTCAATAAAAGCTGATAATTTGATTTTAAATAAGGAGCTTATGACATAATAATGTAACAATTTCTTAGGAGAAAAAAACGTTAAAATTTATCAGCCAAACATGATATTATCAAACCATTAGGCAGAATCATTTTAGCTGGTAAGTGACTATAGCTCGTTTGATACTCATAATAATGACCAAATGACATACATATAGTTTTAGTCAGTCTCCCAATTTGGAGTTCTCAATTTACACTTTGAACAGTTAAATCAAAATTTCATCTTTGATGACATTAAATGTGACCCAATTTTCTAAAGAAACAATTACCCTCTTCAGCAGACTAATTAAGATAAAAACTGTTAGGACCATTTTGACACTTTTTTAATTGAATGCTCTTGTACTAGAATGAACTTGATGTATCACTTTAAATGTAGTTTGTAACTTACATATAATTAATATGAACTTAACAGTTAAGTTGTAAGGGTTGAAACTTAGAAAAACAGTGTTATACAAATAAGCAGTAAGTCTTAGATCATCTGTTTCAAAGAAAAAGTGGAGCTATTATGATCACTGTGCTGGCCCCATTATTGTGCTGTGCAAAATCTTTATTGTAGCCCTCAGTAATTCAAACATTTTAAAAGGTATAGACATGAAACTTTGACTTCTAGCGTACTTATCATGAAAAGATAATTCTGAAAGCTATAATTTTAGAGTTATGCCCTTTTTTATATGCCCGAAAAGAAATCTGCATATAATGTTATGCACCTGTTTGTCTGTCCATCTGTGAGCAGTTTTCATGTCCAGCCTGTATGTTTTGAACTGATGGAAGGAATTGAAACTACTTGGCAGAAATGTTAACTATAATGTGATGAGATATGCTCCTTTTTAACTTGGAATTTTTGTCAAAATTGTTAGTTATGTAGATTGATTTCTATGAATGATAAAAGAAATCAAAATAAAAACTTGGAACCCACTTTCAATACACTGACAATGCACAGTTGAAAGATAGCTTTTATGGGTGTTATCCTGAGAAGAATATTTCTAGGATTTATGTTCCTTCTAATATTAATAAAAGTTGGTTATTGATATTCTAGCCTTTTACAGACAAGCATAAGGTCCATGTACATAAATTTAGAAGGTTTATGCATATTTTTTTTTCTTTTTTCATCAGCTCTAATTTTCTGGAAGCTTGCTTTCGAACATTCAAAAATGAACCCACAAGGTCAGAGAAATGTTACTGCAAACGATGCTAGGGATTCCAATCCTGCAATGCAAATAAGGGAAATGAGCCAGAGTGCTGATGGAAGCTATGAAGATATAGATGAAGGTGTTACTAACAACGAGGTTCTGAGGGACAATGAAGGTTTTGATGAGGACAACGAGGTTCTGAGGGACAATGAAGATTTTAGGGACAACGAGGTTCTGAGGGATAATGAAGGCATTGCTGACAACGAGGTTCTGAGAAACAATGAAGAGTTTGGGGACAACAAGGTTCTGAGGGACAATGAAGAGTTTGGGGACAACGAGGTTCCGAGGGATAATGAAGGTATTACTGACAACGAGGTTCTAAGGGACAATGAAGATTTTGGGGACAACGAGGTTCTGAGGGACAATGAAGAGTTTGGGGACAACGAGGTTCCGAGGGATAATGAAGGTATTACTGACAACAAGGTTCTGAGGGACAATGAAGAGTTTGGGGACAACGAGGTTCCGAGGGATAATGAAGGTATTACTGACAACGAGGTTCTAAGGGACAATGAAGATTTTGGGGACAACAAGGTTCTGAGGGACAATGAAGAGTTTGGGGACAACGAGGTTCCGAGGGATAATGAAGGTATTACTGACAACGAGGTTCTAAGGGACAATGAAGATTTTGGGGACAACGAGGTTCTGAGGGATAATGAAGGCATTACTGACAAAGAGGTTCTGAGGGACAATGGAGATTTTGGGGACAACAAGGTTCTGAGGGACAATGAAGGTTTTGCGGACAGTAGAGATTTTAGACAGCAAATTGAAGATGATGATGCTGTAGGAAATGAAGGTGTATCTTATAGTTCAATGATGGAAGGGAATGAAAACGAAACTGATCAAGAGGAGATAGAGCAACCTGATGTAGATGCAACTGTTAGTCCTGAAAATAAATCAATTCCTTTAGGTAAAGGCTTGTCTCAAAATGAAACCCAGAATGATCATGAGACAGATCCAGAACCTGAAAATACTACCCAGCGGTCTGATAGCTCTGGAATTAGAAAAAGAAGGCACATGGCCTTAGAAGGTTGTAATGCTGCTTCTACCACTGCTGCTGGTGATGGTCCTGCTGATGACAGAGATAATGGCATTAGAGCTAAAAAAATTGAATCTGACACAACAATGAAAAACCTGATGGGAGGCACTCTTGAAAGGACAGAGGAAGTAGGACTTGCTGTGAGATGTAGTATACAAGAAACAAGTCAGTGCAGAGAAACAGAGGGTAGACAAGATGGTGGGGATGAATCCAATTGTATGGAACCAGATTACAGTCTCTCAACAGGAGTGCAAAATGAGGAAGATCAAAAAGCTAAGGTTAGTTTTTAACACATTGCTTACATTCACCATGATTCTTATTACTATAATGAAGTAACATTATAAGCTTGTATAAATAATTCAATTGACTCATATAATTTCAAATATATCTCTTTTTATTGTAGTTTATTTTTAGTCCTTGGTTTAATCATGTGATAATTAGTTGGTGAAGTGAAATTTATGAGTTTGGATGAGTTATTGAAATTTTTGCATGAACAGATATTTTATTTTACTAACAATGTAACAGTCATTATGTAACATTTTGGAACATTTTCATTCATGATACACTTTCATTTAACTGCAGCTCATATTTATGTTACATGTCATATAGATTTGTTAAGAAATGTTGCATTGCCAGATTGATTTAGAGGGAAAGATTGTTTGTCAATGACTTTGTCATTTAGTTAATATGTTTTAATTTATGAGGGTCATTTTAAGCTGCACTTTTCACTGAAAAATGTAGCTACATGTTTTGTCATGCCTCACTTAGGGCGGCTGCTGTGTCAACATTGGTTTACCCTTTTAGGTAATATGTTTTCATGTCTGGTCATTAACTTGAATACCAAAAACAATATTATGTGGATACACCTTGATGAGCTTATCCCATTTTCAGAAGTCATTGGCCATGGTTAATTGTAATTGTAATAAGTTAAGGTCATATCTATTTAGCTAGTTACATTATTTTGTCATATCAATTTATCAAATTATTTTTGTACATTGTCATATTAACTTTATCATGGTATGTTACATTGTAACATCAACTTTGTTATGTTATGTTACATTGTCATATCAATTTATCAAATTATGTAACATTGTCATATCAACTTTGTAATGTTATGTTACATTGTCCAATCAATTTATCAAATTATGTTATATTGTCATATCAATTTATCAAATTATGTTATATTGTTATATCAACTTGTTATGTTACATTGTCATATCAATTTATCAAATTTTGTTACATTGCCCTATCAATATATCAAATTATGTTACATTGCCCTATCAATATATCAAATTATGTTACATTGTCCTATCAATATATCAAATTATGTTACATTGTCCTATCAATTTATCAAATTATGTTACATTGTCCTATCAATTTATCAAATTATGTTACATTGTCCTATCAATTTATCAAATTATGTTACATTGCCCAATCAATTTATCAAATTATGTTATATTGCCCTATCAATTTATGAAATTATGTTACATTGTCCTATCAATGTATCAAATTGCATTACATTGTCTATCAACTTCATGTTACATTGTTGAATTAATTTATCAATTTATGTTAAATTGTGGTATCAATTTATCAAATTATGTTATATTGTCTTATCATCTTTATTGTGTAATTTATCATTGTTATAACAATTTATCAAGTTATGTTATATTATCAAATAGATCGCTCATGAAGAAAATAAAAAAGGAAGAAAATTAGACTGTAAGCACCAATGCGTCAGTATATATTCAAATGGTTGGTTTTGCAATGAAAAGTTTCAAAACAATCTTGTTTGTTACATATACCATCAACTGACAGGATTCTGTTGTTGATATCAATTATCAAACTCTGATGAACCAAGGTAATTTTTATGTATCCAAAAAAATTTAGTTAGAAATTAAATGTTGTAATGTGAAAACTATGGACACATTAAAATACCGGTAAGCAGAAATTAAAAAAAATGTTTAAATTTCTCTGTCATACTTATTAATCAGAAAAAAGTATTTGAAACAACAGCAGTATTTCTACAGATAAGATTTAGGGCTTGAAACTTTATCATTCATTGATCAGAAAGTTAAGGAGAAAACTCAGTATACGGTAATTCTGTTATGTTATAAACTTATAACATAACAGTTGGTATTTCTTTTTCATTCTGGACCATTTATATAAAAGGCTTTTTAGTGGTAGCACTTCAAGTGTCATTCCTCTGTACAAGATATCTGTAGTTATGAGCTGACATGATTAAAGGGACTCCACTGAGGTGCAAAGACCTAAAAGCATTAAATTTGAAGTATTTACATAGATCAGCTGAGGCACGTAAAACAGAATGATGGTCAAAATATAATCTGTATAAATAAAGAAATATACTCCTAAACAAGTTGAAAATAACTTTGTGCTATTCTAGCTTGATTTGAGTGAAAAGCTTTGCAATGCTTTTTAATTTTCTTCAAATAGAAGAGCTAAATTTGGCGGCATGGCCCAGTGGTTAACCCTTCGGACTAGTAATCTAAGTATTGCTGACCCCGTAGGTCCAAACCCTGTCAGGGGCAAGCCGTTGTTTCCTTGAGCAAGAAACTTTACATTCATTGCTTAGTAATGGTTGTACATTCATTGCTTAGTAATGGTTGGTTCCAGGAACTGATCCGAGAGTGTTTCAATAAGCTTATAGCTTCCAACACAATCCAACTAAAATAAATTTGTATAAACTAAATTAGCTAGACATTTAGCTATTCTATTTGAAGAATTATAGGGAGCGCTGTTGTGGTCACCATCAGGTGTCAGCTTCCTCCTCAAATTCTTGCGTGCAAGTTTTTATTTCCAAAACATCTGAAGGAAATGGGGTGAAACTTCACAGAATAATAGGAGATCACTTATTCTAAGGCTTATAAGTCTAACATGACTTTTGACAGAACTATGGCCCTTTCTTAACTAATGTTACTCTCAAGCACTGAGAATAGTTGAGCACTCTTGTTCACAATTAGAATAATTATTCTGGAGAAATGGAGTGAGCAAATGATCTGAAATTTTGCACACAAGTTATCGGTGTATTATGACATACATCAAATTGAAATTAATCTTGAAAACTATGTCCAGTCCTGCCATGTCAAATAATCCAGTGGAGCCCCTAATAGGTAGGAAGTGATTATAGAAAATTATCAAAATTTTTACAAACTTCCAAGATCAACTTGAATATGGTAGAGATCTATTATAGGTCACCTAATATAATTTATCACATACCAGTGCCGATTTTGCCACTCTGTAAAAACGGTATTGCATGGCTGTGTATATATTTTGATGTGACGTCATTTGCATTGTAAAGACTCACTAAAGCTACAGTCTCACTGACATACATCCCAGCAGAGCCCCGGTAGATGTCCAGGGTGATCTGGAAACGACCGGGGTACAACCGGGAATAACTGGGGTACATCCTTAACTCGGCCGGCAACGTCCGGGAACATCTGGCATTCGGGGTTCTACCAGGGCTCTACCTGTATTGTCCTGGGCTCTGCCGGGGCTCTGCCTGGATTGACCGGGGCTCTGCCTGGGTCAACCGGGGCTCTTCCAGCATCATCCGGGGACAACCGGGGAAGCACTGGCATGAACTGTAGCTTCACCTGGGCTCTGCCTGGAAGATCCGGAGCGCATCCTGGGTGGTTAGTTTGGAATTACCGTAGTGCTGCCAGGGTTAGTGTAGCCGCAACAATGATTTCATCCCGGATCATCCGGTAACTTACCGGGATGGTCCTGGGCTCTGCCAGGAGTAAGTGAGACAGCAGCTTTAATGTTAGTGTAACACTTTAGGCGCGTCATTAAAAAAATGTTTCTTTTATACTTTAAACACTAATTTGGATATGTGATAAATAGTATTGTATTTGTGTAACTTTTCAATACTAAATTTATTGAACTCGTTGACTAAAATAATATTATGCTAGCCAAAGGCTCGCATAATATAACTTTATTCAACTCATTCAATAAACTCAGTATTGAACTTACACTGACTCATTCATATCCTCTATTCCTGTACGAAATTTTGGCACGGATTCTGGGCAGAATTGGCACGGAATTGGCACGGAATTGGCACGGAATCAGTGATTTCTGGGCGGACTAGGGACGGAAACGCAAAATCCGTGCCATTCTGTCTCACAAGAAAAATATTTTGTTCACTTTTCTGGGCGGAAAACTAGAAAAATTCCGGCTGGAATTTTATTTTGAGCAGAATTCATACTTAAACATTTCATCTTGGACAGAATTTTCAACTTTGAAATTTTTTTGGGTAGGAATAGTCTTCACTATGGGCGGAATTCTATACTTAAAACATTTTTCTTGAACAGAATTTCACATATAAGATGTCCAAATCATAATTGTACTCTTGTTTTTGCACTTGCAGACATTGAAATTTTACTACTGTACTTATTTTTTTTTGCTGAACCAATAATTACAGGTGTATTTTTTAGAATTAATATATATATTTTTTTTTAGACATTAAAATAGGCCTTCTTTTTAGATAAATATATTGTCAGACTAATTTTTATTTTTTGTACTGAAAAACAACTGTAATAATCTTAGTGTAGAACTTGAAAACATTCACCTCCAAAATGAATAAGTTTACAATAGAAAGATTTTTCATACAGCTTGTATTAAAATACATTTACTGTATTATGAATTTTTTAAATATGATTTAAGGACATCATCTGAAAGCAACATTAAAATAAGAATGCTTTTTAAATTTGAATATACTATAGAATATTTTCTAAGGGCAGTCACACCGGGACAAGATTATAAGTGTGCTTGCCATTTTAAATTAAATTCTAAGAATTCATGATTTTGTTATAAAAAAAAAATAAACAAAAACAAAACAGTGCATGAAATAATCTCATATATTATGCCCTTTTAATCTATATAAAATTGATCAACCAATATGCCCAATAATTGCTTTTATTTACCGTATGTAAATAAATACTACAATGTATATTCACTGAGATTATATTCACCCAGATTTTTGCGACGGACGCGCCCTCAGGCGCGTTCAGAGCTAAGTCATCTACACATGGGATTTCGTTGGCTACACTCGCGCAATGTGTCCTAAACCAATTAACAGCCCAAGAAATAGTACATGAATTTGATCCTTCAAAACTCCCATACTTTGTCTGGATATCTTAATGTCTTCCATATTTAGCCTTTTCAATTCCAAATTAAGTTATCCAAGTTAAAATATGAACGTATATTATTGATAAAAACGTTGTAGTCCCGTAGTATTATTGCGCAATATGCAAATTACTGC